AACCTCAGCAGATATCATCGCATTAATGGAAAATCAATACGATTACAACGTTATTCAATTAACAAGATATTTATTTAATGATATTTTTCGAGTTATATAATCATCTAATTAGTCGGCTAATTTTGAAAATGTCGGTCCTGAGATATGATACTACGTCGTAACGTGGCCTCAAAATTATTGATTCCAGATCGAAGGATATCAAGTTCTATTGATCAAAGTACGTAACTTATTGATGCGTTTAAATCTGTCATTGATGTGGGAAATCTACATTGCAATTAGAATACTTGCAACGATGATCTTGCGACTCTTACTATGGTGCCAAAAATGTCTGTTGTCTACACTATCGAAGTAACAAAACCGTGTTTTTCAGATCTTTTTTCTGGTTTGAATCGTACTACTACCATTTAATAATAATCCATACCATATAATAATTTTAAAAAATTTGTAAATTCTTCTCCATGCATGACATCTCTCTATAATGTTACTTAGATAAAATTAAACTTCTTGCAATCAATTATCGATTATTCCTACCTGCCTGTTCTCATTTTCCAGATTGTCAATGGTAAACTATCTAAAACTTATTCATTATATTACGCATTAAGCGGCAAAAATCAACCGCGATAATTCTCACGAAATCTAAGTAATTTGATTAAGAAGTTAAAATTTATCATAGTGGTTTGTTCGAATATTATTACAATAAAAATGAATGTTGAAAACTGACCAAGAATTAATGATACCCATATGTGACCGACGCGACGCGATACATAATTGCGTCAGCCATATTTGAAAACTAATCTTGGGTTATTAGATTCAGTTTGCATAGTGTAAGAAATCTTAGCTTTTAGGTATTTAGTTAATTGATTAACTGTAGAACTAACAAACCTGCCGAAATAGCCGATCAAAATGACTGGTTTCTGATCTTTTCTAAATTTTTTAAATCTCTTCACAGTTTTGTTTTCAATTCTTCCATTCTTGTCAAAAATGCATAAAATCCGCAGTCTGGTCGCAACAATATCTGCGTTCTTCATTTCTCCCTTGCAAAATTCAACAATTCTAACTCGTTCTTCATCGTTTTACCTTTTTATGTCGAAAGAAGGTATAAACGTACACGAACAGTACCAATAAATGTAAAAAAAAAGAAACGTAAATAAAATTATATAATAAATATATATATAAATAATACTAATACTAATACTAATACTAAATAATATATATAATATTACTAATACTATATATATATATAAATAATACTAATACTAATACTAAATAATAATAATACTAACACTAATACATAAATAAATAAAATAAATTTGGACACTGAACATTTTCAAAAAAGAAAAACGAAGCGTTACTCGCAGCGGGACAGCATTATTTTCAAGCCTCGTACGCATTGGCAGTTCTAGCGTCAAAGTACATCGATTTCCATCGAAATTCGACGATCGTCAAGTCGACGTCCGCGTCAGAAAATGAAACACCTGGAAAAACGTGTAACCGCGGGTTCGGTATCTGATCGTCGAAGCTAATGTATCGTTCCGTCGGCGCACGGGGAGCGTCAAATTCTGCAGTTTTGCGTTCCCGTGCAATTTTTCACACGTGCGGAAACGGACGGCGGCAAAGAAGCCGGCACCGGCGAATGCTATATAAGATGACAGAGGTGCCAATTGAGACAGTCATTCCGGTAGAAACAGCGGCAGCGCCAGGACCATTCGAATTCCCGCGTTCGGTAGTGACAAAGCAACCCGACTGGACAATTTCGTTCGTTACGTACGCCGTCTGGTCCCATCGTTTCCAGACCAGAAATGGATACCAGGATCTTGACGTTACTCGTGATTATCAGCGTCGCGGGATCTCTCGCTGAGCTTCACGTGCCTTTCTACAGAGTTCGCAGAAGTGAGTAGTCATTGATCAAACACACGCACACAGACACACGCACACACCGAGAGCTTGCCAGTAGCGACGCAAAGGAGGAAAAAAAACCCGAATAGAATAGAATGTATCTCTATGTGATTAACACGTGGATGCACGAGGCTGTTGCGCGTGATAGTAATTAGTGCGACGTCGAGCGTCGATCGCTCGGCTAATCGATTTGTTGCTAACGACTACGAGAAGGAACCCAGTGATTCACGCACGCACCTTTAACACGCTGACACTTTTACTGGAAGAAACGGGCCGAAACAGAATTTCGACTCTTCCGAGCAAGTATTACATTCGCTGACGTTTCAACGAGCCCGAAAGCACCGTGCGCTATAATAACGGTGCTTCTCGCATGCATAAATTCGTGCGTTTTCGCGCAGCCACACTGCACGCGGGTTTTATATACACCGCAGAATAAAACTTTCGTAATTGATTGTTCCGCGCTGGAGCTTCGACTATTGTCAAGTCACCGAACGCGTAGGTTTCCATAGAAGTTTTATAAATAGCGCGTCTAAACGGCTAACGGGACAAGCAAAGGATAAAGAATAACCGAGTGTATCTTGTTCTCGCTCGCGGACGCTCACGATCGCTTAATTATTTACAGTTCTCTCTAGCCGCGTTTTCGTGGAGCCAATCTTTCCGCAGGCATTGTCGTCGCATTTGTCGGATATCAATCGCCGATGAAATCCTCCTCGATTGCGTAATCCAAGGATAATACGAATTATGTTCAACAATAAGTTACGCAACCGTCGCGCATTTAAAGCGGAAATTTCAAGATAATTGTGAAACCGGCGTCTCGGGGTCGTGGAATATTAATAAATTGTTGTTAATCGGCGGTGTCGCGGCGATTGCGGGATTCGACGAACGCGTAAAAAAAAAAAAGCGCACGAGGAATGCTTTGTGCTCGGGAGAACAGGTCCGTGGCTGTTACTCGAGTATTTACATATTTGGGCTTCTTGAATGGGAGAAGCGAGCGTCATTCTTTCGTGCTTCTGCTGAAATCCGTTGCTCGAAGTCGACTCGAAAGATACTGCGCGCTCGAAAAGTTTCCGTTCAATATTTGTAGTTTTACTCTTCGTCGAAGAGTAGACGAATATTTGTGATTATTACGGGGAAAAATTCAGTGGTTTTTAATCGAACGACAAATGCAACGAACGTTGATAACTAAGCGTTGGAAAATTGGATTCGATTTATCTTTTGCGCTCGGATATTCCCTCTCGTGAAATGTAAAATTGTTGATAATTATGGTACTTTTTGATACATAAAGTCTGCATCAATATTTTCTCAAATTTGATTCAACTCTTACACTTTGACTCGCACATGGGTGACGAAATTATTTGCTTAGACTCGAAAATTAAATTTTACGCTGATTTGTTACGTCTTCCTAATTTTATTAAGATCAGCGAAGCGTAAGAACAAAGTAACGGATGTTGTGCAGCGAAATTTTTTTCATTTTGATTCGATTAAATAAAACACTTTTATATTGTTCGCGCGACGGTCGAAACGTTGAACAGTTTAATTATTCATTTCATATGATTCGTTCTAAAAGGTAAATTCCTCCAATTTTCCTTCAGCTTGTAAATAAAAATGGACAATTCGAGAAGAGAAGATACGATTATTCGAGCCACGATTTTTATAGTTGCCGATTGTCGACAATTATAAAAACGAGGTGCAAGGCTCGAATAATCTTTTCGAGAGCCAAGATCCATTTTTGTTCACAAGCTGAAGGAAAATTAGGGAGAATTATAACTGTATATAATGAATACATTCTACGGATCATTTTTCAAATACGTTTTTAGTGTATGATCTCAGAGCGCAAAGGGTGGATCGAAGTTCGAGCAGCGTTTGAAATAAAAATATTCTGCGAAGGATTTAATTTTCGTTGAATGATAAGCTTTATTGTTTCTCTTGCGGAATGCGAGTAATTTTTGTTAAATGACTGAACAAATATCGATATCCTTATTCGGAGATTTTACGATTGAAAAAATATTCTTGCCGGCGTGGAATAATTGAATCGAACGAGAGGGAGTAATATTAATTCGCAATGTCGACGGAAGCATCTTCGATGATCGCCGTATAATTGAATGCAAGTAAAGTGTCAATAAAAGTGTCAGCAGATAATTAACTCTGTCCGCACGTCACAAAATCAGCACAATGTATGTATGCCCGCGATTCTGTGTGGGTGCATGCGTGGTAGCGGATTGGTAATCGATATTCTCGCGTCTGTAATATAATATTAACTGTCGTCTCCTCGATGCGCTTCTCTTTTATGTGTACGAGAACGTAATGCATGTCGCGCAACGAGAGCGACGATAATTCTTCGCGAGGTTTACGAACCGTGACCTCGTTTCATTCCCAACCTTGACCCTTGCCAAGATACTTTCCTTCTCTCGACTTCTTCCTTTTTTGCTCGTGTTCTTCTCGTGCACTCGGTGACAACGAGACAGCGTGATTTAAGCGGCTCTGTCCACTTCGTAGCCGCGACCACCGGATTCGTACAGCATTCGAAATTCGTGCGGGCATAAATGAAACAACGAGAGTAGAGTCACGATTTAAATAACAATCTACCGAGTCGCGCGTAATCTTGAGAAACTTGATTTTACGAACCGAAGTCTCCGAGACACAGAAATATCGAATGATCGATGGATCGCGGATCTTTATGCAACGTGAAAATGTTCTTCACGAATTTCAAGAAACGAGAGACAATAAAAATGTACCTCTTCTCGCGTGGTAGCTTATCGATGATTATTTAATAATTACTTATTATTACGAATAATCGTTCAAAGATACCATCTCTATGTCCTTTTATTCTTCTGGCGTTCATTATTTCGTGTCTCGCGCTATCGTTTTTCTCATCAATGCATAAAATCCGCGATCCAGTTATCAAAGTTCTGTTCTTTATCTTATTCTGTACTTATAAAGATTGTAATTTGGAAATGTGTTTCGCACGAAATACTTCCACGATGAATGAATATTCAACCATAATCTGACAAATCGTGCAGATAAATCGATGCAGAAATATTCGATTTACATATATATATATATTTCGTTTAGAATTATCTTGTTGATGAATTATCTGTATTAAAAAAACGTACTGTTTACGCGCTTTCTGTAATCGTGTCACAGTTATATAATTATTCGAAGCAATTCACGCGATTACAACGAATCGAGGAAAAGGTTGAATAAATTCTTTTAAACTACTTCTTTGATCTCTGATTCCGCGTAATATTTTGATTTATCTTGCTGAACTGTTAGAAAATCGTGCAAATAATGAACAGTGAAGAAGAATGTCTTAATAGCCGATGATGTTTAAAGTGCAAACTATGTAACTAAATCCGTTCACTCTACGAATTTGTGAAGACCCGCATGTAAGAATTCAACGAAGTTGTTCTTCCTTTCACTAAAAAAAAAAAGTGATTATACGTTACTAAAGGATGTCCCAAAATTCATACAAGACGTAATTTTGATAGGAACACAAGTTTATAATTAAAATTGTAAATTATTATATTATACGGCTTCGCTGACACAAACACACTCTTTCGTTGAAATTTTCCATAGTGTTTCCATAGTGTTATGTATTATGGGTAAACGGCCTCCACGGCTTGGCTTCGCTGACACATACACACTCTTTTGTTGAAATTTTCCATGGCCGTTTTGCATAAACGTGGATGAATTTCGTTGATGTAACGCTCGATTTCCTTTTTCGAGGCGTGGGTGGTCGTGGGCTTGTTGGCATAAATCTTAGACTTCAAAAATCCCTAAAGAAAAATATCCAACGACGAATTAAATCGCGCGATCTGGGTGGCCAGCTCCGATCACCAAAACGGGAAATTACACGACCAGGAAATGACTCATGCAGTGACCGAATTGTTTCGCGGACCTTGAACTGTCAGCTGCCTTTTTTTTCGTTGGCAACACTTTACCATACAAATGGCACGAAATTTAAATCTTCCGTGAATTTCGGGACATCCTTTATAACGTCTAAACGAATATTCTATTGCGAAATGAACTTTTCCATCGCATTTATGTTTACCAATGGCTAACAACGTCCATGACTTTCATCGTACTTACTGTTCGTCGAACCTATCTCTACTGAGAAATCTTTATATATGTGTCCTCGTAAAGAAATTAGCGTTCGAGTGTGTGTCGGAAAGTTTCATGACGAAACCATTCCCCTGCATGCCTGTTCTGTTCGTCACTCAGTCACTGTTTTCCCCTAATTCAATAGAGCTGTGGAAGTGAACGAGAAATGTAAACCTCGTATATCTGTCTATATCTGTTCAACGTGTTTTAAAACTTTCTTTCTCACACGCATGCGTTTCAGTGAAGCTACAGGTTTACCGAGCATTGGAGTCATCGGAGGCTGTGAAAACGACTTTTAAAAAACAGGCGATGAAACATGAAAATCCGGATCGACGAAGATCTCAGTTTTCGAAATTGAACTGGCTGAACGAGATGCTTGTGTAATATCAACCCTGTATTTTTTTAAAAATATAAAATAAAAATAAAATATTTTAATATTAATATTAAAATAATATTATTAAAATATAATATATATATAATAATATTATATATATATATAGATAGATATATATAGATAGATAGATATAATAATATACATATATATATATATATAATATATAATAATATTATTAAAATAATAATATAATTAATATTTTATACATTAATAGCAAAAGATTGTGAACGGAACACAGAAAGGAACAAGATATTGTTGCATAAGCTTCAAGTATAAAAGTAAATTACTTATGTTGGGTCGTACACTACAATTTTGATTTTATGATCGCGACTATCGAGTAATTAATAGTTAGCAGACCCATCTTAATACGTCAAATACCAAAAATCGAACAAACTAATGTAATTAGTAAAACCGAAACTAGGAAGTTTGAATTTATCATAGTAGCTGGTTTGTAACTCTTTCGCATTCTAAACATCCTAAGATTATTCAATTTGTTCAAACGTGTATTGGCAGCAGAAATAAATTTTTGAAAACTAGACGAACATTGGTGTCACACATATATGACACTCGTCCATTTAACGTGTTATATAGATTAATTTTTCTTAGTACAATTTTCACGAAATAGACCTCATCTCTGCTTGAAATTGCTCGAACCACTCAGTGAGATTGCTATCCAATGTTTTTCATTACATGCATTCCAGGCATGATTGAAAGAGTGGATGCAGCAGGTGGTAGCTCTCGAAACAGTAACCTGCTTTAATGTCATTCGAAATGTGGTCTGTAATCTGCGCCATTCAAGCAGGCGTCGTTGTATTAACATATTTCTGTAACTGTGGCAGAAGCGTGTTGTTTTCAAACCATATTATGTATATATGTACACGTATAGACTGTGTATCTTTATGCAGAATACAAATGTTCGAAGACGATTGCGAGAAATAGAAATTAAATAAAAATAAATTGTTGCTTCTATTAATTTTAATATCGTGGATCTAGTGTAACTATTAAACTCTTCTTTATGCCATCATAATTTTATATTTCATCTACACATTTTTTCCGTAAATGTATAAAATTCTCAGTCCAATCTACATATCCTATAACTTTTATATCTTGATTTTTACTTTTTATTTATTTTAATTTCAGTAAATTAATTGGTCACTATTTTTCGTTGATAACTCGTAAATAAAGCCGCGGATTGCATTTGCGCTAAGGAAAAAGTTACTTCGAATGACCTCAGGAACTCCTCATTTCCCGAAAATACCGTAATTTTGGTACACCCTGTAAATTTATAGCCTGTAAAATCATCTTCAAATGGTTTTTATCGTATCTATCTGCAATATTACCTGATAGACTTCTTACATAAAGTAAAGAACACAATTTTCAAAACAAAGCAGACTGTTGCTGTAAACTCTTGAATCACTTTGTTCGAATCAACATGAATCCGTTCAACGCATCCCTTTAACCCAGCCAACAATTAAGCTGCTAAAACATCTATAACCCTGAGTTCAAAAGGACTTATCACAGATCCTCCGGTAAGAAAAACTATTTCGAATGGAAATGGAAAAGACTCCAATGCTCGATGGACCTGCGCGTCACTCGTCCTCTAGGAAAGCATGTCGGCAATAACCACGAGGCCTGCGATTCACCGCAACCACAGCGTTTCGCTGGGAACAATTAACCAAACGACCATTGGTGTTTTGTTTCTTTTCATCGGCGAAGATGGCTTGCAAGAAAGCGATATGAGAGCAGACACGGAGTTCATCGAAACGCCGAGGGCGAAACGGCAATCGATCTTCGAGAGTTCAAGCACCGCAGAAAGCACCACCACGCCTAAGGACTCGACCACCGCCTCTGCACCGAGCACAACTCCCGCGAACACCACCCCGAAAAAACCCAATCTTCCGAGCAAGCCGAAACCGCCGAGCCCGAACCGTCCCGGAACGAGTCCGCCAGCATCTAAACCGAGTTCACCCGCGCCTAAACCGCACACCCCAGCACCAAAACCGAGTCCGCCACCATATAAACCGAATCCAACAACCCGGGTCATACCGAGTCGCCTCGCCGCCAATCCTGCTACTTTGCAAACAGATCCCACGACACCCGAACCCGGCACCTCGCCGGCCAAAGCCACCACCACGCCGAAACAGTCGGACACCGAGGAACCAGATGACCCGCAGTCAACGACCCCGAAAGTCGGGCTCGGTTCTCGTATCGATTCGGAGGACCCCGACCAGGAGTCTGTCGAGGAGCCTTTAGAAGTGAAGAAGCCTAAAGGCAAGCCTCAGAGCAAGCCAGTTGCGAGTCCTGCGACGAATCCTGCGACGAATCCTGCGACGAATCCTGCGCCTTCGGTCGTAGATTCCGGCCATCCTCAGAACAGTTACGTCCCACAGTTCGCCTTCCCGAACTTCTCTCCGGACTTCTCGTCACCTTATAACCCTTACGGTGATCCTACTTTCAACTCTATCCCAGGTCCTAACAATTACGCCTGGACCGGAACCAGCCACGGACAAGGAGCGGCCGGGTCTTTCGCTTCAGCTGGAGCTTCTTCCTTCGGAGGCGGCGCAGGCTACGGACAAGCACCCAAGCAACCGTCGTTGGCCGATCGTGGAGCTTTCGTCGACAATATGCCTAACACCGGCAATATGCCTAACTACGGCTATATGCCGAACTCGGACTGGCCGAATGCTGGCTACGCACCGAACATGGGTAGCGCTGGGGGATTTGGTTACAGTGGAGTAGGTAATGATCTGAGAGGAGGCGATCCTGAGAGCATGCTTCAGTGATCTGCGGTCTGTCGGCGCAGTAATTTAATTTTGGGATCTATGGGAATAGGATCTCTGAATGAATAGGTTAAAATTAATTTTGTGAAATTGATTCTGTAAAATTGATTTTGCAAAATTAATTTTGTGAAATTGATTCTGTAAAATTGATTTTGCAAAATTAATTTTGTGAAATTGATTCTGTAAAATTGATTTTGCAAAATTAATTTTGTGAAATTGATTCTGTAAAATTGATTTTGCAAAATAGATTCCGTAAAATTGTGATTCTGTAAAATTGATTTCACAAAATTGACCTCATGAATTGATTTTGTCAATCGATCGGAACGAATTTATTCTGGTTCTTACGGTGCATGTGTTTTAGAAAGATTGCCAGAAGAAGATTATGCCAAATTAGTTTTTGCTGGTACCTGTCCTGCGAGTCTGTATCGTTGAGTTTTGTGTCGTGTCGAGTATTTTTCGAGATTTTGAACATTCATATTTGACAGACTCGCGGCTTTCGTTTCGCATACAATTGCATGAGCTACTTCGTTCGTTCGCGAATGCGTGCATTGTCTGTGGACACTGTTTACATGCAGTTCGCTTTTTACAGGCACAGGCGCAGGCTTCCCATTCCAGGATCCCAGCGTTTTTGTGTTCCCCGGCTATAATCCGGAAGCTTTCCATAGGCAAATGGAGGAACAGTTCAAGCAGCTACAAAATCAGTTCCAGAAACAACAACAGTCGTAAGTGAAACAGAATAGTAGGCGTTTTTAGAACGATTTTTTGTGCGACGCCAACGAAATTGTAAGTGATGTATCAATAATTAGACCGCGGATTTGTAGGAAAAAGAAAAATAATCTGCATCAGTTATAGAAGTTAAGGACCACATTTTTCGATCCTTTGATATTTTTAATAAATTCAATTTTAATACATCGATATTCGTAGGTTTTTTCCGTCTTTTCATTGTTTTAAGTGCTACTACTTTCTTGTTTTTCTCACAAATACATCAAATCCGCAGTCTAATCACAATTATTGTGAACGAATTAGGCTTAAGTGGTAATATCTAATAAGAAATATGCATTCGATTTGGGAGATTCCAACAAATTTAACTAAAGCGTTACGTTGAAGAATACGTTTTAATTTCATATATTTTGTAATTACTAGACTGCGGATTTTATGCATTTATTACATATACATATAAGTAGATCGATCTCGAAACAGTACAAACATGTACTTATTAAACTTATTAAAATTATTAATAAGAAGAATAAATGTTTTTGTAGCTCTTTTGTCTTGCAGTTAACGAAGACAATTTCCATTTTGCACAAATATCTGCCGTCTAGGAATTACGATTTAGTATGCTTATTACTATCATTTATAAAAATAGATAGTTCTTATGTTGCAATTATTGTATTTTTAGATTGTTTGAGACTGCCAATCGCATAGGCACAGACGGCTATTCAGGTGGAATACCTGGTGCTCATACTGCTGTTTCTAGCATTGGTCTGGGACCACACGGTGGCTATCAAGCTGGTGCTATCAATCCGGTACGATCAATATTCTGTTTTATATATGTTTCAATTATTTTCGTTACCATTATTCCACAAAGTTATTAATTATTGCTGAAAAATTGTATAATCTGTGGCTTTGTCCTCTCGCGTCAAAGTATATTTTCTTTGAAGAGTTTCAAAGTTTTTCATAATTTTCTCATCTTATTATTTCGTACAAACGATGTACAGCAATGTTCTGCAAAAGATTCCGAATCTTTATGCTGATGAATCTTTATAAATTTCCATTCTTGCACGTTGTTTTTGTTGTTGTGAGAATTAGGATAAGGTAAACATTTCTTTCGTTCGACAAAACATCCACTGTATACAAAACAAAGTAAGAATATTATTAATTTTAGGTAATGTACTCTTTCTTTTGCATTTCACCTTGCGTGAACGTAAATGCATAAGTGTAACCTCGTAATGATCGTCTTAACGTCATTAAATTCAGTACGGGCGAAGTTAATTAAATTTCATTTAATTGGTAATTTAATAACGCTTTAATGTCGGATAATTACCTATAATAAAAGTACAGTTTCAAATGTTCGAATATAAGAAGTCGCAGAGAGTTAAGTGCAATCGTAAAAAGTCAACGAGTCTAAACTGTGGAGACCGCTATAATAAAAATGTATCCGCATAACTTGCGAAAGGTATTCATTTAAATATCGTAACAAAAATGAAAAAAAAAAGGTATAACTGAAATTGCTACAAATTTAAACAATATTTATAAGAGCGTATAGCAGATTTTACAGACTTTTATAAAACACTGGTCTACAAAATATTTATCTTGTAAAATAGCTGTCTTTAATAGGCAACTTTTACAACAATTACACTTGAATTTAACTTTATCAATTGTTACGAAAATAATTGGACCGTCATCACGGTTACGCGACGATTCAAAATTTTTACAATTGCAATAAATTCTGAAAAGTAAAAGAAGCAGAAAAAATATATTTATTGCATGCTTATATTTACTTGGATGCTTAACTAGTGATAACAAGAGACAGAACGAGAGATTAGGAGAAAGAGAGAGAGAGAGAGAGAGAGAGAAAGAGGGACGTTAAAAAAACTAGATAAGATTCATACTTAACAGGTTATTATTAGAAATCCCATCGCTAGTGAGACCCATCAAATGGCAAGGGGTTAAGCAATAAATAATCTTCGAAATAATATACGAGAAACAACAAGATTAGAAAAATTATTTCCAAAATACAAAGTGAAAGAATTTTGCCATTATTTATGGGAGGATTTATTTGATGGTAACTATTTGTAACGTTGCAGGTTGCGCCGGGAGTGCAATCCAGATTCGGTGAAGAAATTCCCGCACCTTCTGGAGGCAGTTTCGGAGTATTCTCCAGCTCGAGTTCGAAAACGGTGATCGGCCCGGACGGTAAACCGATTTCCCACAAAACGTCGACGACTGGCGTGAACGACAATGGGAAAATTACTTTCCGCACCGTCGAAGATTAAATCCTTCGCCATCGATCGGAGGTGTAACACTAATAACCGTTTTTTGCCCGACCGCTGCATGTTGCGATAACACAAGCAACATCCTTTGGTCTTCTTTATTCTCTCCGAATCGAGAGATTGTAACCGTTGTAACTCAGGGTCCTATACAATACTTTAATTACTTGTCAAATATACTTGCATTAATGCCATAGAAATACTCATCTATTTAAGTGCAACTCGAACCGTGGAGCGCCTAATATCGTATGTAATTATTTGATAGCAACAAGGGATTATTTAACACCTTAAACAAAGAGACCACTAGGTAATTTCATGTTACGAGACGATTACTATGCAGCGTACGATAATTCTCGATGAAATTAAAGAGGATTGGTGTTATAACGAAAGACCAGGACTTTGGAATGTAATTAAAATACAGTTCACTCTGGAACAACTTTAAAATTTTATATACGAAACGTTGTCGACAATAAAAATTGATTATCCAATCGATATTAATTATCTGGTTGTTAAAAAGAACAGAGACATCGTATTTAATTATTCATAAAACTTTGTCTCGTACGGCAATTTCTACGTCGACGTGACTATGCTAATTAATTATTTAATGTAGGGTAATCATCATGTAACACGTTTAATTTTATTTAAATTATTTACAAATTCGTTCTCACAAATATATCTATTGTTTAACAGCGTCTGTATTTTATTGAACTGGACGACGATATTTACATGAACAAGATACTACGATCGAGACCGGTGGGATTTCATTTGTTGCGTCCTTGGGTCTTGCTCAGCGGTGGTTCTATCTTGTCATCAACAACGGGCGCAGCAGCTGGCCGTCCGCCATATTGTGGAAATTGTCTGCCTGAAAATTGCACCGGAACTTGGTAACGCCACATAATTTGTGGCCTCTGGAAGGTTCTTCTGCCTTGATACCAAGGTTCGCCGTCTTGGAAACGAGTTTGAATCTGTAATAGATGATTTTCTTATTTCATTTAACAATGTACAGTAAATTCTTCCTAATTGACGCTCACAGATTGTGCACAAAAATGAACAATTTTGGAAGGGGAGTTACGATTATTCGAGCATTGCGACTCGTTTTTATAGTAACATTGTCATGTTATAATTATAAAGTTAGATATAGTTATATTATAATTATAAAGTTAGATATAGTTATATTATAATTATAAAGGTAGATATAGTTATATTATAATTATAAAGTTAGATATAGTTATATTATAATTATAAAGTTAGATATAGTTATATTATAATTATAAAGTTAGATACAGTTATAGACATGTTATAGTTAGATTGTCAATAATCGTAACCTCGAATAATCATATCCCCTCTTCTCAAATTGTCCATTTTTGTGTATAATCTGAAAGTCAATTAGAGAGAATTTACTATACTTCGTAGAATCACCAACATTTATCGAGGCTATCGATATTAGAAGATGTCGATACGTTAAGTGATCTTGGTTTCAGTATCGTCTTCGTCAGGAGCGGATATGATACTAATTATGAATGCTGATTTTCTCGTAATAAAGAATATGTATTTTGTTTATAGTATAATTTATTTAATTACGATATAATTATGCGGTCGTCCAAACAAACAATACCAACAATTAGACTGCGGATCTTTATGCAATTTCTAATTTTCATACGTCATTTCACGAAAATTAGAATTAAAGAAAAGTTTCTTTATTTCCACTAAAAGATCACTAACATATTGTAAGAAGGAAATAAAAATGATATTAGAAACATTGTTACCTCGAACTATTTTTGCATTTTAGAAGTCTGCGCGTGCCATAAATGCGTAAAGATCTTTGTTATTCAAATTCTTGTCAATTAATTTCAATAAAAGAAATAACAAAAAGGCTGACAGGTCTATAAGAAGTATCTTTGGAAAAATGTTCTCAAAATTGGTGAATAAATCTGAGAATGATGATAAATATCGTCAATTGTATAATTTTTATAAAAAATGGTTAGTCATACATTAATTAATAGTATTGAGATAATACTGTTTGATTGTGCATATTTGTTCTCACTTTTGCAGCACCGAAATTATTATCTTTTTAAGACCTGTACGATTGCTTTCAAACTTTAATCAAAGAAAATGCGCATTTTTCTGAATGAATTAGTTAATTTCTTTGTTCGTCTGTGTATCTCAGCGGGAAATATTTATTAATGATTACAGAAAAGAGAGGGCAACAAGATTGGAGCAATATGTAGAAGCAATTATAATAATTGTAAATTATAATCTAGTTGTTTTGCAATTATAACCACATTTTATGTAACACAAGAATTATGTTTGGTGTGAAGGTGCAAACTACTTGTGGAATATTCCAGTATTCACTTAAGATATTGCCGCAGAGCACACCTGAGCAATCTTCTTTAAAAGCTTCTGAAATATCACGTTATAACTTGTCCATAATAATTTTCTACTTCTTTATTCATTGTCTCATTATAAATTCTGTTCTCCCACGCTTTCATGAATTTAATGTACACTTGTTTATGACATTTAAGGACCATAAATTTTATCTATTTACTGCGAGTATTTTCGTGTTCGGCTATAAATTTGGAC